GAGAGTGACAGATATATAGAGGAGAGAGAGATAGTACATCTTAAGAAAGACAGCGTGCGTTAACTGCCACCGACCAATACATCACTATGTCAGACAGACCTTGTAGACCTTCTTAAAACTATTGTAAAGGCTACAAGCATCTGGACAGAAGGTAATTGGTATTGTTATATTTGAGATGGCAGATTCTGCAAGGAGTGGGAGAGATTTGTCCTTAAATGACAAACATTCTAGATACTGTCAAAGTGTCACACCCTAGTTCTTTGTTACTACAGATAGGTGTTTCACAACTGGAACTGAAGCATGGAGCTACTGAACAGATCACACCCTTCCAGGAAACAATGCATATTTTATTCTGCTCATAGAAGTGCAAATTTCTCTTATTCTTATATTAAAGAAATCAAAGCCTTCCATTCCACATACATGTATGTGGCTTGTGAAGAGCATGGGTTGATGTGACTTTCTCTTGGAAAGCCACCCATATAAAAGGTGGGAATATGCCCCAAAGGATGGTACTGATATAAAACTGACAGTAACAACTGAAAGTGAGACTTACTGTTGTTTTCAGTGTAGCTACTATATGCAGGCCTTGTCTCAAACTGTTAAGCTGAGAACTTTGCCACAAGTTAGAGTTTATAAATATTGGGAAATCTTTGATGAGACCATCACCTATGGTTGTAAGATCTGGGGTGTTGCCAAGAGACTGGATATGAGAGCTTGAAATGCGGCATCTCTGCAGCATGGCATTTTAGCCCCCTTTCAGGGTCACTGATCCAGGTGGCCCATATTGACGTAGACTTGGGACTCATTATTTCAATACTTTTTATTTAATAATAATGAAACAAACACCTCCCTGAAGACCACAGAAAAACTCTCCAAATATAAAGATCTGGAGATAGAAAATTGAAAGAATGTGGGGGATGAAGACCACAACAATTCCAGTAGTAATGGGTGCTCTTAGTCTGGTCAAGAAAGGGATGGAAAAGTACACCAACAAAATCCCTGGTAACATTAAGATACAAGAAATCCAGAAGATCCTCCTCAGCACTGCTCACATTTTAAGGAGGTCATTATCCATCAAATAAATCCATCACACCCTCATTGCAGCCTCAAGTCCAAGGAACAGACATTAAGAAAAAAAAAACATAATAATAATAATAAATATAGCCGCAAGCGGCGATTCGCGGGTTCATACCTTTTTTCCCCAATATCGCCATCAAAATAATTTCACACATACGGTTCAACATTGTTATAAAACATATCCTGTACGTTTTGTAACAACTGGACAACCATTTTCTGATCTATAGCTTGATCATTTCACGTCTAGTTACGATGCATTTAAAGCGCCACCTAGTGGTCGATTTGAATGAAACTTTCAAGGAATATTTCCGGCACTCATGTGGACATATCCTGTGTGTTTTGTGATGATTGGAACAACAGTTGTGGATCTTTGTCTATTTATGTCCTGCACCACGCCCCTTTACACGTTTATTGGTCAATATCTTGAAAAGGAAAGGAGCTATCACCAAGCGGTGTAGGAGGAGATGTAAAAAATGTGTTTGCATTATGGCAAGCGGCCATAAAAATCCTGTTTTAATGTGTTATGTATCTGTATATGTTGGGCAATTTTTCTTCAAATACACTAGTTGACCTTTTCCTTAAAAAACAACTACAGCTTTTATTTGTAGGAGTGCACTGACTGCAAAGAACAAAACATTTACTGGGAACAAGCCCACTCAGGATTATGGAGCTAAATTAGGGCCAAATGTTTTGTTAATTTGAAAAAAGAAATTGTAATCAAAAAACTTGAACACATTTTTAACACTGTTGTTTTGCATCAGCAAAGAAATTTACACAAGTACTACATCAAACTGATTCAGTGTCGTCCCCCCCAACAGATATGGCCTTGTTATTTTTGGAGGGATTGATGGCTTCTCACGAAAGGTATGATGACTACTAAATGAGATTCAAAATGACAGACATGGTTCTACTTCTTGTTATAGGTTTGAAAAATGAAATGCTTTCATTTAATTTCCAGTGAATGATATTCTCTTCTTCAGATCATGTACCTAGGTGCTGCGACCAATAATAAAGCATCCACTGCACTTGATTTCTTCATGGAGGCAGTGCAGAAGTATGGCTTTCCATTAAGGTAAGACCAAGTGTGGTTCACTGTGGTAGTTCCTACCTCAGTCATTTGTGTATCAACTGCTTGTTAAGGATGTACAGGGTTTTTCATTTTAAAGTTCTCAAACAATGTTTTGTCCAGTAAGATGACCATAAACAAAAGGCATTTTAAACAATTAAAATGCCTTTATTATAATGGCATGGTTATATAAGAATTAAAATGCGTGCTAAAACACATTTTGGCATCTCCCTGATGCCAAAGCACGTTTAAGTGGGCATTTAAATTTTGTAAATACCATTACAATAAAGGCATTTTATTTATTTAAAAGAGAGTGCTTTGGATTTTTTTGTCTTGTATTTTTATAATACATAAAGATGTTAGAAGTTAGCTTATCTTCTATTTTTTTGAAACATTTAATCATGCATTTTTATTTAAAAACTTTTTTTTATTTCTTTATGTGTGACGGTTTCTTTTTAGAGTAAGAGGTGACCAAGGAGTGGAAAACGTTGGTGTTGCGCGATGCATGTTCACCATTAGAGGCTGTGGAAGGGGGAGTTTCCTGTCAGGAAAGAGTGTACACTACCAAAGGTATGTTTTCTTTATGTACTGCGAAGTAGTCACACACATCCAGAAGCCTCAACAACAAACAACACAAAACATGAAGCAAAGGTCTGCACACTCTTCCAAACTCTCTGGGCACTTAATATTTACCAGATCCAAATGTGAAAAAGATAAAGTCAAAACAAAGAAACCACATAAAACACCTAACATGAAAGGCACATAATAGGGCAAGTATTAAACTCTTCTAAATAAGTCAGATCCACATAGATCAAAAGAAATGTATATCTGACTGGAAGCCGTAATATATTTAATATAGCTAGGTCCAGATATCACTAGATAGTGTGCTTTTCACAGCCTGTGAGGCGGTTATGTATTTTATATGGTTTCTTGACTTTACTGTATTTCTGTATTTCAAGTGTTCTTACCACTGGATAGAGTTAGGTGGATTTCTATTTTTACTATTCCGGTGCAGTTTAGAATCTCAAACCAGTTTAATTTGAAGTAACCGGTGGAACCAGCTCTTCTGTTTATTTCTTGTCATCGTTCAGTGTCACTTTGGAGAGCATCTGCTGCGTTCAATGTGACACCTAAAGGTTCGGTTTGGTGTTTGGCTGAATATCAAACCAGTTTGAACCGACCCACTCCTACCACTGGATCATGTCCTAGTATGTGACCAGAGTATTAACAATGGCATCTTTATATCCGTCTTCTAGTCTAGGGAAGAGCAGTAGCTTGAACTTTCACTTACGGTTGTCCAATAAATTCATCTAAATTGGGCTACCTTTGTTCCATGTTCCATTTATTTTTTACACAAGTTCAAGTGCAAGTTCAAATGTACTGTACCCACTTGAAGATAATTTTATGTTTTCTTTTAACAGAATAGAACGTTTGTGGCGAGATGTTTGGATGACTGTTTCCAATGTGCACTACGAGATTCTTCACAGCCTTGAGGACGAAGGTGTTCTAGATCCTTCTGACAGCATCCATCTTTTCTGTGCCCAGCATGTGTTTCTTCCACGTCTGCAGAGGGATCTCGATGTCTTCAGGGTGGGGTGGGATAATCACCCTCTGAGAACAGAGCAGAATCTGTCCCCGCAACAACTGTGGATGATGGGGCTCCTCCTGAATCCTGTTGATGCTCCAGACCTGACAGAGGTACTAATTACATTTTGTTTGTATTGATTATTACAGTTGTTTCATTTAATTAAAATATTTTAAACACAACCATTGTGTTTAAAATATCTGTACAACACTGTAAAGAAATCCCTGAAAACTTACTCCATGATAAAGCTTGGAAATTATATTTTCATGGTGTATTACATTACTGATGAAAAGTTGGTGCAAGATAATGTAAAGTTCATTTTGTAGCATCATTATTTTATATAATTTATAAAAACTGATTTTATGTGGTTTGCAATCAGTATCAAATTAATGAAAGTGATAACAGAGCTAATTCTTTCTAAATTCACATTGCAGAGAATTTGAATGTTTACTAATATCAAAGTGCTTAAAATGGTTTAAAAGCTGAACAACAGCTTAGGTCGCATTGAATAAAATACAAAGGAGCTGATACTGTATTGATACTGGCATCAGCATAGTATCCGTTCTGTTCACATTAGTCTTCTTAATACTTTTATAAATTTACTTTTATGTTCCCTGATTTATAAATGACCTTTTTATTTTAAATGTAGGAAATTGAGGATGCAGATCTTCATTTCAACACTGCCAGCGAGCAAGACGTGAGCAGTCCTGGAGTGATTCTTCCGCCCATTGAATGTCCTCTCTCTGAGCAGGACATGACAGGCTTAAGGAACACTATTGATGTTACAGGACCATCAGATTCCTATGGGCGAGACATTTATTTGGCTGTATTGAACTACGTGCTAAATCATGTACCGTAGATGCAGGAATTTTGTTTCAAAAACCAGCTTAACACTAATGTGTTACACAAAGTGTACATTGAACTTGTTTTAAATGTTTATTGTTACTGACAGCAGTGAAGCTACATGGTACAAACATTCTTTAACTGCTTCTCAGAGTGCTGGGCTGCAACTTGTGAGTGAGACAACATGATGCCAATTAGCCAGACATCTAGATGAGATGTAAACTAATTACTTTTATGAAATCTTGTTGCAAGATTACCTTCTTAACCTTAACATGTTTGCATGAAATGCTCAACAGTACTGCTATTAAACAATAATTTAATGTTTACTCTCGACTAATTCCTCTTTCCAAATATGGATTTTGGAACACCGTATTACTAAGAAATGTGTTTCATTGATCAGAACATAATAAAACAGTAGCAACTGGTGCAACATTTATCATTTACTGTAGGTTGTAGTTCAACCTAGAAAAAGGTACCATCAGTTGATGGTAAATATTTACACCATATTAAACTGTTGGCCCAGATGAAAAGCCTCAGTTAGAACCTTTTTGAATTGGTCATAAGGCCTCATATGTTTTACAGGTAGTACAATATTCTTGGCACATGCTGACACAACGGGGTAACACACACTGTGATGGCCAAAGTCTGCACTACAGTCATGGTTAAACTTGATTGTTACAGCAAAATCCTTCTTCTCTGAGGGAAGAAGTGGGATGTGACCTTGGCCTGTGATCCACTGGAGCAACCTGGCAGGTGTGATGGAATGTAGGCCATCTTGGTCATCTACCTGGTCTTTAGCTATGAAGCAAACATAAAACAACAAGTGTTATGTGACCATTGTAAATGTTATTCCTTACTGCCATGCAGTTCTTTCAATTAAAGGAGTGAATTAGACAAAGGTACTCAGCCACAGAAGAACAGAAAAAGTCACATTTCAAGATGATTTGGAAAGACTATCTTAGCCAAACACAATGAATATATGCCATTATATATACTTTCATTATTGGCGATGTCTTTCTACATAGAATGGTGATAGATTTGTAAAGGTTTTCATTAAGAACAATGGGTTTAGGGAAACAATCATTTGTATGTATGTTCTCTGTATGTATGCTCATTGTGATTACAGCCTTGCATTCAAAAAAAGTGACAACTGTCTTAAAACAAAAACTACCCTGGTCCATAGTACTTATTACCATTATCAAAAAATAACGTTAACATATTCATACCTGCATAATTACAGGTGGTACCAGAAAATTATACAGCTCAAAATGTCATGAAAACACACATTTTACTGAGCTTTCGAATATTTGATTTGCAGAACATTAACAACTATACACCTTCAGCTTCATAAAGGAAGTCCTGAATAAAGTTGATCATCTCCAGCTCAATCTGATGCCTGGAAGTCCCTTTGTCACTCAGTTGAGGAAGAATGGATGCCATGACAAACTCTGCATTAACCTATGATGAGATAAAATTGTATATCATGTCACCATTTAATTATTAAATGTCATAGCAGTTAAGCATTTCTTAATTCATTCTCATATAATAGTACTAAATGGTCTAGTTTTGTCTTACTTTTACATCTTCACCGGGAACAAACAGGGGCTGGCAGATATCTGGGTACTGCCTTATTAGCGAAAGAAGGTCATACAGCTGCAGGCCTTCTCTCAGTTGTTCCAATATAGGCTGCAGCCTCAGCACTGCATGGAGTACAATGGCACTACAATAGTAGACAGGAAAACAATTGCTACAAAAAAAAAATCCCTTTTATTAATTTTACTGTACAAACAGAAATATATGTCCTAACATACCGAACAATGGACTCCTTGTTTTGCACTGAGATAGCTCCAGTATATCCACAATTTATGATTTCATCAGAAAGGCCTTCAATTGAATGTTCAGTTGACATTTCAACTTGAAAATATAAATTTAAATCACAGGAAGAAAATTTCTTTACCATGTAAACACATGAAAATATTGTTTGACAGGGAATACTTGATCAACCCAGTATTTTCTTCATACAGAGGTCATACCTGCTCAATTAACTCTCGCAACTGGACATCTGCAACTGCTTCGGTATTGAGAGTCGCCGGGTTTATCTGGCCACTACAGAGGTAACTGTAAGTCCATGGGCTGAAAAAGGCAGGGGCCGGGCCACCTTGTGCCAAACTTACTGCCAAAATCTCTCCAACAGTCCTATTTACACAAATTAAGCATTAATGTTTTAAAAAATGTTTCACAGAAAGAAACCGTTTGTCCCGACTTGCATAAAAATAAACCCACTTGTACAGGCCGCTGTCAAAGTCAGTCAGAGAGTATCGTGGGCTCCTCTGGTGCTTTGCCCCTCAAAGAAACGGCTCTCAATTCCTGCAATCATTTCTATTCACACAAGTACAAACACAATAACTGTGTTGGTCTAGGGTCTCCTGCGTCAAGTAATATTTTATTATCGTGTGAATTAACTATTAGCCATTTAATTTAGACCATATTACTTGGAAACCCAACCAAGATAATAAAAATGTATTTCTATTTAGCCATTCAGATCATTTCAATAGGGTTTGTCTAATTTGGGTTAGGGTTATATTAATTTTTGTACATTATAGAAAACCTAATACACAACTCGAGGACAGACCTTAGCTGATGGACATATTACTAATAAAAATGTAACATTCCTTCATGATTTGGATGAGCTGCCCGTTATTCATAGAGACCGTTCTGTGGATTCAAATGTTTCCTTTTGTTTTACCTGTGAGAAATTCTTTTCGGAGAGCACCTGTGTCCACTCCAGCCTCCCCAAAGAATGTCACTTTCAGAGCAGCAGTAGGTGAATTTTTTTTTTGACGCTGCCACTGCAGTAGGCCTCTCTCCAGAATGTTTGTTCTGGAGATTTGGATGTTGAACTGTTTCTCTAGGTCAACTCTTCCACACATGGCATCCAATACATCATCAACACTGCCAAACCAAACTTAGAATCAATAAATAGCTACTAATGTTGACTGCAAAACCTGCAGAATTAAGATCTGTGTAGGATTAAGGTTTATGTATTTAGACAACACAGTATTTACCTTTTGATGTGCTCCTCTCCATTGTTCTGGCTCGCAGCAGGTGTCTCAGTCATCTTAAGATTGTCCTTTTCTCTACAAAAGCACATGTATTGTGCAAATATTAGTACGAATAGATAAAACAAGTACTCAAGTTACATATACATTTAAAATGAACATAAAAACACTGCATACAAATTACCTTTCTCCACACATGCTAGCATGGATCTCTACAAACTGTGGTGTAAATTTCAAGAAACAGATAGGACATGGAACTTTCTATTGGAGACAGAACAGTTGGACTATTAGCAACAGTCTCATACAGAACAGTTTATGTGGGCTTTTCACATTGCAACACAATAACATTTAACACTTTACCTCTTCAAAAGATGTCTTGGTGTCATGGTGTACAGGGGGGGCTGTCATTGAAACTATCTGGATGTCGTTTTCACATGTCTAAGATATTACATATGAAAATGTTCTGTTATAACTCATTGAAAAGCAGTAGTTGCTGTACAATGCAACATCACATGTATTACATAGCTTACCTCAATATCCTCTCCTGCTGACTGAGACTCCATGCACTCCTGAACATGAAGGGCCAAAATGTGCAAAGGAAAACTCACTTTGCAAGTTTGACATTGTGCTTTTGGCATACTTTGGAATTCAATGGCATCTGGAGGTAGTGGAGTTAGGTCAAACTCATGCTGCAAAGGCACAATATACAGGGTGTTCTTCCCTGCCCCTGTGACACTGCGAAGAAGAGTTCCGGTGTATCCATCAGAGTCTGGAGGAATCATTATTAGTCTCCTTTTACCCTGACCACCTGTAAATGCAACATTGTTTGGATTATTTCAACTAGATATGTTTGGCCAAGTTATTTGAATGGCAATGTATGAAAATGGATATTATATTACTACTTTTCTTCACCTGTAGCCTTGTAGAGCAGCCATCCACCTGTCACTCCCTGCATCTTAGGGTACTCATTTTGCAGTAGTCGAAAGAACTAAGAGAACATAACTAAGTGATGATAGATAGATAGATAGATAGATACACTTAATTTATCCCGAGGGAAATTCAAGTATCCAGTAGCATACAAAACATACATCCATTAAACATACATTAAACCTATATTAAAATAGAATTAGAATTAAAATAACTTTTAACACAGTAAACAGTGCAAATGGAGTGCAGATGGAGGTAGAAATTGTTCTTTTGTCTATTGTCCTCCCTGCCATGACTAGGAGCTGATGTCTCAATGCTTGAAGAATATCCTACCACTAGGATAAAAGGGTCATGTTTTAAATATAAGACATTTTGAGCAAAGTTTAATCTGTAATACCTCCTTGTGACTCATATCCTTGGACATGGTGAGATGTCTTTTTCCAAGCCCTGCTTGAGCAAGTTCAGACTCTTCAGATGAGGTTGGGGTTGTCTCTGAATTTATGTTTAACAGGTAAACATAGAAACTAAAAGGCCTCCAGGTTTTTGTATATGGTGTGCTATAGGTCTTTGGACTCTGTATCTTTCGCTTTCCTAGGTAACTTTTTCTTGAGAAAAATCCAGGGAAAGATCTGCATGATTTAAAAATGATTTTTTCTTTTATTATGGTCATAAATGTACAAATAAAATATTAACTAGTTAAATTACTTTAAAATGAACTTGAACAATAAAATTCCATCTAAAACCTGGCCATCTCTTGGTCTACAGATGAAGATCCCTGTTGCTGCATTCTTCCTTGCTCTTGCTGTCCCTGAGAGATGTTCTGTGTGAGCACGTTTATAAGGCTCTGTGCAGCTGCAGCCACTGTCGAGTTATGGTCGACATTCTGACAAACAGAGGTTAACAAAGAAAATCCACGTTAAAGGCATAAAAGAACTTTAGCTAGTTACTGAAAACACTAGCTAGCTTTAGTAGGATGGAGCTAACTTAGTTCATGCTAATCCAAGCGATGCTTCATTTCCAGCTTTGTCCAGTTGTCAAACTCAAACGCATTTTCCCTTTATGTGTGTCCCTACGATAAAATAATTATCCACTGTGGGATAATGTCCCCAAAGAATATATTCTAAACGGCCCATATATTTCACATGTCTTACCTGTGCACTGGCGCCAGCGGGTTGCCTTGGCGCTGCGGACGCCATGGCGAGTGAATACAGCGGTGCGTTCATGGTCGTATGTGTAAGTGGGAGAAGTTCCTTCTTAAAGTGTAGCTGCTGAATTGCACAAACTGGCACAATTTATTATTTATAGTGTAATTGGTCCCACGTATTGTCCAAAACAGCTTTTTGGGAACTTAGCCACTGGCATTAGTTTGTTTACTGCCAGTCACATGCATATGGTGGATAGAAAGCATTGAGCCATGATTCTCGCAGTGCCTACGTTTCGTGAAGGCAACATGACTGAGGAGAGTCTTCTTCCTTCTTTGTTAGACTGTCACTCATGATTCCACGCCCCTCTCCGTTGAAACCACGCCCCCCACGCAAAATCGGGGCCAAAAGTCTGAAACTGAAAAATACTGATCTGAAAGTGAAAAATAGATTTGAAAGTGAAAAAAAAAGATCTGAAGCTGTAAAAAAAAGATTTGATGCTGTAAAAAAAAGATTTGATGCTGTAAAAAAAAATAAGCTTTGACTCTGAAAACATAAAACGTGGAACTGAAAAATAAAAGTCCTAAAATATCAAAATATGGAAAAGTGAAAAATAAAAAACAAATAATTTCTTCAAAATACTTCCAGAAATAAATCAATATTTTATTTAAACTGAAAAAAATTGGCAAACTTATTTTTAGTTTGAGTACATGGTTGTATTTTTTAAGTTTTCGACAAAAAATTAAGTTTTCAATTTCAAGTTTTAGTTTTTCGATTACAATTTCTTTTTTCAAATTAACAAAACATTTGGCCCTAATTTAGCTCCATACATCTGGATTTGACATGGCTTTATATCCTTATTACTGATTAGGTGCAACACATTACTGATTTGAAACGGGTGTGTTCAATTGTGTGCTTCCGATGACAACAGTGTGTTGCTTGTGTTTCACTTTTGGGGGCTGTGTTTTGCCATTCTGAGTTGAAGTGCACCAAAATGCTACATGTGCTTTGTGAATGACAATGTGTTTACAGTTTTGCACAAAGAGTGATTCCGATTTGCTAGTTGTGTCTAACCACATGAGAAGTGTTTAAAGTTCTGCAAATTGTGTGATTCAATCAATAAAGTGGTTTGTACACTTGCAACTTTGGTTTTGCAAACGGATTTAGTGTTTTAGCAATTCAGAAATACTGTAATGTAAAGGGTTTACTTTATATAAACATTTTTTAATGGTAATCAAAGGCTACTATCCAATATATCTACATTTTTTTCCAATCAATGTAGGGGGTTTATTTTATATAAACATTGTTTTATAGTAATTAAAAGCGACTATCCAATATATACACATTATTTTCCCATTTCTTTAATGAGTTGACTTTACATTAACATTGTTTGATAATAATTAAACGCAACTATCCGATTTATATACATTCTCCTCCCATTACAGTTTTTCTCAAATGCTAAAACACATTTCACAAACGTTTCGTCTCCAATGTCTAAACACAACACCCTTTTCTAAAGCTACATAAACACAACCACACCTTCTCCCTTCAAAACTCAAACTTTCACACCAAAAGAGCAGCTCGAAGCTTTGAAAAATGTAAACACTATACACATCATTACACACTACAGCAAAACAATTGAAAACACAATGCTCAATTTGTGAGAAGGTTCTTTGTTTCATAACTGCCAATGCATATTTTTTAGAAACTTTACAATAATGGATCTTCTTAGATCTCTGCAGAGGATTGGGCATTTAGATTTGTGAGTTTCATATGAAGAGTATAAATCTATAGTAAATTCTGTACACTACTGTAACACAACTCAATGCAAAAACAGAATCTATTGCACACAACAGTACTCTTGAAAACATGATCAGGGTGTGAAGTTTTTTTTATTTACGCCACAATCACTGTGTGGCATCATGTCGCTGAGCTGCATCGGGCCACATCACCTCATCCAAATCGCAGGCTATATTGTCTCTTGCCAGGCACCGTGGGAAAAACGCCCTGGAATGGCGGATCCATCCTTGGAAGTTCTCCACTGGGATGTCAACACACGCCAGCTCCATTGCCCTTAGGAGGTTCTCTCTAGTGTATGGTTGTCTGTCATAAACCTTCCATCTCCACAATGAGAAGAACTCCTCTATAGGGTTGAGGAAAGGGGAGTAGGGTGGCAGACAGACGTTTAAAAAGTGGTTACTGTTGGTGGTGAACCACTCTCTGATTTGGTTTGTTCTGTGGAAGCGTACATTGTCCCAAATGATCACATAAATGGGATGTTCGGGCCCAGGATGGTGTTGTTGGCGGTCCAGGAGGATATCTTTTAGCTCCTCTAGGAAGGTTAGGAGACGTTGGGTGTTGTAAGACCCAAGGACAGCCTGCCGGTGGACAAGCCCCTCCAAACCCATGGCCGCACAAAGAGTAATATTACCCCCCCCCCCGTTGGCCAGGAACCTCAGTGATGGCTCTTTGGCCAATGATGTTACGGCCTCTTTGCCTTCGTTTCTGCAGGTTGAAACCAGCCTCATCCAGGAAGAGGTACTCATGAGGTCTGGCCATCGTGTCCAACTGTAATATCCTCTGTGAAAATGTGAAAGTGCACAGGTGTTCAGAACAACAGTCAATCAGGTAGCATAGTATTGTCCAGAAGTAATGTAGGCCACTGAGCAACACAGTATGTTCACTAACTGTACTGTGAACATGGATGTATACTTACTTGCACATACTCGTAACGTAGGTCTTTGTGTTATGCAGAGTTTCGCTCAAAGGGAACCCTATAGACTTGTTTCATCCGCATCTTTTGGCGCCGGAGAACTCGGTCTATTGTGGCCAAGCTGACATCATCAATGCCCTCAAAGTTCACATTATCGGCAATGACTTTGTCTCTGATCTCCCGGAGTCTGATGAGGTTGTTCTCACGAACCATATCCACAATGAGGGTTTCTTGTGCCGCTGTAAATATGGCAACCCTCCCACCTCTATGTGGCATTCTTTCAACTCTAAAGAAAGAAACGTGTTGTCAATTGACATGTTTTACAATACAGTAACAACTGATTTGAAACTAATAGACTACTTTCACAGGTTTGTAAAATTGTATTGTGACAAAGAAAGCAATAGAGTACAATACCTGTTGTGTTGTCGGAATGCCCTGATAATGGTGGCCACGGTGAACCTACTCAGGTTTGGACGGACTCTTAGTCCTGCTTCAGCCATTGTCATGCCATGGACAATGACATGGTCAATGACTGTTGCTCGCATCTCGTCCGTAATGATGGTGCGAGGTTGTCTTGCTCTCCCTCTTGGACCTTCTCCTCTCCCTTGTTGGCCTGCTCCTCTTCCTCGTTGGCCTCCTACTCTTCCTCCCTGGCCTGCTCCTCTTCCTCCTCTTCCTCCTCTGACTCGATTACCTCTTCCCCTGACACTGCCTTCATCCATTGTGTTTGTTTGGAATCTTCAGCAAACTGTGCACTCTGAACTTGCTTTTATACATGTGCTCACAGCATTAGCAACAGGTGTTTTCAATTTTGAGTCGTCGTGTGTAATGAATGACGCCAGGTGTGTTCATTTTGTTCAAATATTGCTGACTGTGGCAAGCATTTTGCATCACATGAGCTTTCATTTGAGAATATGAGCAGAGTTCTTTTGCAACTTGTGTTTTAGCAAGGAAAAATGTGTTAAGATTTATGTGAACGGAGGATTGTGTTTTGTGAATTGTGTCTTCATGTGAAATGTGTTTATGATATTGGAAAATGATGGCTAGATTTAGTAAATGTGTTTAGACAACTAGTCATTTGGTTTAGAGGATTGGCTTTTGTGTTTTAGCATTTGAGAAAAACTGTAACATGCAAGACAATTAAACAATGGAATAATCCTGTAAAAAAATATATAATTTGTCATATGAATTTACAGATTAAAACTTTTATTTTATGGTTAATGTTTTTAATAAAAGTTTTTTTCTGTATTTTAATGGAATTTATATATAATGTTAAAAAAACTGAAAAAATCTGTAAAATAATACAGTATATTTCTGTGAAAGAAAAATATTTGTTTTACAGTGTAGTAAATTGAGAATGGCCAATCTCATCTGCTGTGCCTGGAATTAAATTGCATGTCAGCAGTAAATAAAGGCCAGCACGCGCATGATGCGTGTAACAGTCGTAGTACGTGAATACATTTTTGATTTTTTAAAATTAATTTTAAAAAAGATTGGGGGTCATAGCAAGGTTGAACAACAAAGACATGGGGGTGTAAAAATGAGTGTTTGTATTAGGGCGTGTCCAGCCTTATCCTCTAATAGTGGTGGTGGGGGGTTGATCACCAAAAGGTGAAGACGGGTGTAAAAAGGGGGGTTTGTGTATATGGGATGTCCGGTGTTATCCTCTAAAAGCGGATGTTTGGGAGTGGCTTTAGCAATCGCTTGTATATATAGAGGGCTAGACCGAGAGCGTGGAACTGTGTGACTGAATGATTTCTGGGTGAATCCGTATCGGACAGAGCTATCTTTGTGCAGAACAACAGCGCCATCTTTGCAGCATCAAAATCATGGACGTCACAGGTAATCAATTGGGAATAACGACTCCAAAACTACGTATAATTATAGATCCTGTTTGCAATGAGTATGGCTCCTAGAAAGAAGACTCCCCCA